CTCCATATTTTTATAGTTAAATAACTTTCCCAAAGATACTTACCCAGAGCCAGTATTATATTCTTTCTTTCATAGAAGCTGCTTCTTATTTATCTAGCTAACTTTCATTTAGCACTTGCTATGTGCTAAGAACTGTGCTAAGCTTGAGAATTAAGAGTTGAACAAGGTTTTCTGGAATGCAGAAGAGATAGAAGCTAGACTTGAAGAATGAGCTGACACCGAAAAAAAAAARGGGCAGGAAGAATATTCCAGAGAGGAAAAGCATGAGGAAAGCCTGGGAAGTACAGAAAAGTGTCATACCTTCAAGGAAACAGCAAGCATTTTGTTAGAGCTAGAAGGAAGAAAGCAGAAGGGAATTTTCTCTCTTTGGGCTTTAAATCTACATGGAAATCTCAATCAGCAATGACCAGTTGGTCAAAATAGTTGACCAAAACAGTCGGCAGTTGGTCAAAATAGTCTGCAGCTCAGGAGTGAGGTCTGGGCTGAACATTGAGCTTTGGCAGTTGTTATAGCACAGGCGACAYTGGGCTATCAGGGAGAAAGTATTAGAATTAAAAGGACAGAGTTAAGGAACATTTGAAACATTTGCACCCTTAAGTGGTAAAAGAACTGAATGCTGGTTCAAGAAGTAGGAGGGTATAGCAGAATGGTACATCAGAAACCAATGTAAGTGAGAGATTCTTATTTGTTTCTTTGGGTAAAATGGGTAAAATCTAGTTTAAAAAAAGTCCTTCAAAGTGATGATGTTTCAAAACCAGTTAAAATATTTGATCTAGAGTTATTATCAAATGCATTTTAAAAAGTTAAATATTATAAAATGTTAACTATTATTCCAGGGTTCTTTAATCAAGTAGTGTGATAATAATGATAAGAATAAAATATATAAAAATTTCTGGGTGAGGTGGAGCATGCCTGTAATCCCAGAAGCTTGGGGAGGGTGAGGCAGGAGTATCATAAGTTCAAAACCAACCTCAGAAAAAGCAAGGTGCTAAGCAACTTGGTGAGACCCTGTCTCTAAATAAAATACAAAATAGGGCTGGGGATGTGGCTCAGTGTTAAATGTCCCTGAGTTCAATCCCCTGTACCCCCTCCCCCAAAAAGAATAAARTATATAAAAGTTGACGGAAATTTTCAATTAGATTGTTTTTACAGACTGCAAATAGAACTGGGTATGGTGGCACACGCCTGTAATTCCAGCAGCTAGGGAGGCTGAGATAGGAGGATCACTAGTTCAAACTCAGCCTCAGCAAATAGCGAGGCACTAAGCAACTCAGTGAGACCCTGTCTCTAAATAAAAAAATACATAATAGGTCTGGGGATGTGGCTCAGTGGTTGAGTACCCCTAAATTCAATCCCGGTACCCCTCCAGAAAAAATGCAAATAGTATGTAACTAAGGAACATATTTTCAATTATTAATGCACAGTAACTTTCCCTTTTATTTTCCCAAAATAATTTGAATTTTTTGTTTAAACTCAAGAATTGGTAAGTCCATCCATCTTCAAAAACAAACAACAATGCACATTGTGATACCTTTAAACGCACAGTGCCCCTGTAGTGGTTTGAATACTGTTTCCCAACCCAAATTCATATCCACTCCTGTTTGGAAATATRATCTTTGCAGTTGTAATTAGTTAAGGATCATGATATTAAACCATCCTGGCATTAGGATGGTCTTTAAGTCCACTGACTGGTACTGTTTTAGAGAAAGGAGATCGAAATTTGGAGAAGGTACACAGAAGGCGGTAATGTGAAAAGGCAACCAGATAGTAGAGGTGTCTTTAAGTCAAAGAATTCAAAAGATTGCTGAAAACTGCTGCAAGCCAAGAGAGAGGCACAGGAAGGCTTCTCCCTGAGCATTTTCAGAAGGAATACACTGTATTGAAACCTTGATTTTGAATTCTGGCTTCTATAACTGTGAGAGCAACATTTCTGTTATTTTAAGTCCCGCAAATTGTGGTTGTAGGGAAACTTTCAATTTTCTATCTTTCTTCCAAAGTTTTGATGATTTTAGTCTATGAAATAAATTGGCAATATAGACAGATTAACAGGAAAAAGCATATAATTTATTAATGTGAGAGCCACACCCAAGGTATGAGATTTCTTAAAGGTCAGACTGTTGAAGCTTAAGTAACATTTTGAACTGGTATTGATGCAAGTCAGAGAAGGGTGGGAGGAAAATGCACTGACCAAAAGTCTTGCTAGGCAGATCTCCCAAACAGTCATCAGAAGATTACCTGTGGGTAATCTCTGTTTGGGCTAGTGTCAGCCCCCACCCCCACCCCTTTCTCTTGTGAGAAAATCTTTCCTTGGCAAATCCGGGAGAGGGCTCTCAGAGAAAGCCTGTTTGCATCCTTTGTATGCTTCTACAGATTCAAATCTGCTCTATCGCCCCCCCCCCCACCAAGGGACAGCTTTTCAGAGCCATTCCTCTGCCTGCAGCCCCTCTAATTAACCATCTTGAAATATGCTAAAGAAGTATATTTTAGGAAGGGGTCTCTTTTGATCTCCCTCATAGTAATTACAGAAGCCCTAGGATACTAACAGTTCTTATCCCTTACCATTTTCCCAGGTCCCCAAAGGGGACTACAGACCCACACCATCACAACTGGCAAGAGTTAGTTTTTCAGATGATCATGATAAATTCAAATACACTCTAGTTTCACTTAAATAGCTTAAACAAATTGCCAATTATTTAACCTTGTTCTGTTTGTGTAATGTCAGTTCTCCTTCACCCTCTTCCAATTAATGTTGATTAGCATTAGTTCATTTAGTCAGTTATATTTATTTTCTAAGATCAAATACTTGGTTGGCCTGCCTAAGAAACAGCTAAGGGCTAATATTGAATTAAAGATGTTTATCTCCCTCTCTATTTCCCCACCCTCTCTCTCCCTTTTGGTAGTGAGGGAGATAAACCCAGGACCTAGCACATATTAGACAAGGGCTATGTCACTGACCTATCCCTCATCCCTGATAATGGTTCCTTTAATACCTGTCAAGTGTATGCTGTGGTAGACATTATTGTATTATAAGAATCCTATCTCATTGGAGCTAATAATTGCTATCCTGTTAAAAGTGAAGCTTGAAATAATAAACTGCTGACAACTGTTTAACATAATAAACATAATGAAAGTCTACCAATTCTCTGACCTGGTTTTAACTAGATGCGGGTTTTTGTAGCAAGTCATCTTTAAGTTCAGTGTTTGATAGCATATCTTCTCGGGCACAGTCTACATTTTTTTGTCTATTGAGCTTACTTCTGATTTTCAGGCTTCAAAGTAGATCCTAATGGAAAATTACACTTGTCTAAAGAGTTCATCCTTTTTACTTCTGATACATTAGAACTCTATTGAATATTCTTTTTAAGCTTGTATGGCTACAAAGTCTCCTAAATTTTCAAGGTTTAAATTTTGAGAATTATCTGAATTTCAAAATATAGTTAAAATTGAAATATCAAATAACAAAAGTCTGTAATAAAAACTTGCATATATGTGACTGGTTCTAGTCTAAGATGAACATTCAGAGGTCCAAATAGCCAAAGAGGAAAGAGCAGATAGCAAAACAGGTAGGGTCATTACTACTTCATGGGGAATATGAAATTTTTACAAATTTTTAAAATTAGCGTATAAGAGTCAGAAACAACTTCCAAGCAAACTTCTGGAACTTAAACCAATTTTGGGGGTCCCCCGTTTATGGATTAATTTGCATAATTATATGTAAGAGCTTATGACCTAAAACCCAGCTTTCCAAATGACAATATTTTCACCTGAAGCAATGGAGTCCAAATTATGTTATACAAATGAAGAGAATCAAATAATCATGCYTACTATTAAAGTTAGATGCATACTCTTCACTATTTTCAAAACTGATAAGCAGTGTATTATCTTTGKATTTGTTCTTATGTAATATAATCATAAATTAAATTAAATAAGATATTGAACATTAGGGGCTGATAATTCTTTGTTGTGAGGGCCTGCCCTGTGAAATATGAAATGGTTAGCAGCATCCTTGACTTCCAACCATTAGAAGCCTCCCCTCTGTATCTGCAGCAACCAAATTGTCTCCAAAAGTTGCCAAATTTTCCTTTGAACAAAATTGTCCGTAGCTGGCAATCAAGAACAGTTAACTGCTACAAACTGTGTTTTATATTAAGAAGATTGATTGATTGATTGATTGTGCTGGATCAATCCCAGACCTTGTTTACGCACTCTTATTTTGAGCAACATCCCCAAGGCAAGAGCTGTTTTAAATCCTTATCCAYGGCACCTGTTTCATTGTAGCTGCAATATCTTGAACCTGTTCTGTGGCTGCACTTCTCATGGCTTATTATTATTTTAAAGCATAGGGCTGTGTTCTTTCCTGGCTTTGAAATCTTCCAGGACCAGGACAGTGTTTTACTTTGGATCTCAGCGGGAGTCCAATTAACCTTTTGTGCCGGTTAAACACAAGGCACTTTCTCAAAGTAAGCGATTCTCTGTGGTTCATTTCTTTTTGAAGATATGGAATACCTGTTTTGCCTTATGACTTTTAAACACTTCAAAACAAAACAAAACAAAATAAAAACAAAAAGAAGTGACCTTTACGGTGAGACTTTATGATTCAACTTTGTGTAAGTGATCATTTTACACTCCATGTTTTGTTCTCCCACTTTTAGCCTCAATACATCTGCAGAATAAGTAACAGAATTCCTCGAAAAGAATGATCAAGTCATTAGTTTTGAAGTTCTTTTATAATGTTGCCGAAAGCAGCTTAGGCCTGGTTAGTAAAGTTAATAAAAGTCCACTGAGGTTGCGTTCCGTTCCAGACGTTGGATATCTAACAGTATTGCAAGACGACTTCTAGGCTGGCTCTGATGTTGGAAGACAAACACGCAGATGTGTGTTAATTTTCGGGCCTTGACATCGTTTCTTAAGAATTTAACTCCACCTCCCCCGCCAGAATGGAAAAACAACGCCCCTATTCCCGCCTTCCACCTCCCCCCCTTTTCCCTAAGGTCTTCTCCTGTTACTGAAGTTTTGATTTTTTTTTTCCTAGAGAGCTAAAAGAAAGACAAGCACCAAGAGTGGAGTTATATTATTCACTTACTTGTTCTTAGACTTTGTAACTGATTCTCTAGGGGAAGAGGACAAATGAATTCCTGAAAACTTCGGTGGCAGAGTTTGGCACCAGGTTTGATTGACAAGGACGGGCCTAGGGAAGGCGCGGAGGCGGGGCTGGGGTCTCCTGGGTCCAGCCGAGACAAAGAGGTTTGGGCTGCCTCTTGGAGTGGAGAGACCCTTTGGGGGTAACCGGCTTTTGCGCTCAGAGGGGGCATTTTCTAGAAGTTTCTTTCGCATTCCGAAAGAGGGGACCTGGCAGGAAGAAGACCAGCGCCAAGAAAGGGAGTGGGGAGGGGGCGCCGGGCCCGAGAGTGGGTAGCGCTGCAGTCACGTGGCGGTCGCCGCGGCGGCGGGGTTGGGGCTGTTCTTCCGGGTTGGAGGCACAGCTCCGGGGCCGAAGCCCGGGTCTGCCAGCGCGGCGTTCCCTCACACCCGGTGGCGCGCAGCCGGCGGCCGCCCAGGCTCCGGGCCCAGGTGAGCGTGGCAGCGCTGGCCAAAAGAGAGCTGCCTGGGCGCGCGCTCAAGGCGCAGCTGGGGCAGGGGCGCGGCTGCCCAGACCACCCAGGCCCGGGCGAGGAAGGAGACCTGTCAAGGAGCAGAAGGGGGCGGGGTCGGCAGTGCCCCAGAAACAGGGTGCGCCCGCAGGCCTGGGACTTGGTGGTGAAGGAGAACCGTGCCTGAGGGCCTCCTTTCTCGAGTCTTCCTGGAGCAGCTGGAAAGGAGTGGGCGGTCGGCTTCGGCTTCGGGTCCTCGAAAGGCAGGGAGCCTCGGCAGCTGTGCAGGTGCAGATCTTGGAGCTTTGGAGAACTGCGATAGTCTGAGAGGGTCATTTCGGTCCCAAGCGGCACGGGGGATGGGTTGGGGCGTGGGGGGGAGGTGAAGAGAGAGGTCACCGAGGACTTTTGATGGGGGTGCACCCAGGCAGCTGGGAGCCCCTTAATTGTGCTTGAATCTTGAGGGAGTTCAGGGAGGGTACCCGACTGGGGACATAGGAGTTACCAGCAGAAGTTGTGACTATGTCAGGGCGGATTGGTGGTGGTGGGTGCAAGCTTCTGCGAGGCCAAGAGGGATTTGGAGTGGCGAGGGGGTAGAGATGGCTGAGGGGGAAACTTGGATAAAGCTGATTCAAACTTGAGAGCAGAATGATTGTTCTGCAGCTTGGGCCAGTGGGCTATGGGGGAGGTTATAAATAACGGTCCAGTTGCTGGAGGGTGGCAGTTTATTGCGGAGGGAGGGGTGCACTGATGTCAGTGGCTGAGGCACTGGTGGCTTTGGGCGAGGTCACGCTGCCCGTCAGGCTAAGCTTGCCTGGGTATTGTGCCCTTGCTGGTATGTCTCACTTTTAAAAGCATGACTTGTTTACAGTTGCAGGTGTCCTTTATTCGCCCTGTGGTGCCTGCAGTCCTTAAGAGGACTCTTGTCTGGAGTGTTGTAGCCTAGACTATTAAGAGAGGGGGGGATGGGGCTCATGTGCCTACTTTCTCTTATTTAAAATGTCCCTCTCTTTGCAAAGCTTATTTTTAAAAAAAATTTGAAAGGACAGTTTGAGATAAAAAGTTATTGGAAGGCTGAGGGTGGCTTAAACTTTGCTGATGTTTATTTTCCACAAAGCTACACAGACATTTAATTTTCAAACGAAATTTACTGAAACTGCTTGGAGAATGTGTTTATAGGTACCCTGCTTCAGTGTACCTGGCCCTAGTTAATCCAAAAGATTAGTATCAAAAGATTAGGAAAGTAGCTCAGTGGGTACAGCACTTTCCTAGCATGTTCAGGAAGCCCTGGGTTCCATTCCCAATACTGCAAAAAACAAAACAACCAAAACTTACTGACTTTCACCGGGCCACAGGTAATAGCAAAGTGAATATAAGAGCTAATCAGGATATTGTGTTCCTTTAATCCTCTCCACAATCCTGTGAGGTAGGTGTTATGATTCTTCCCATTTTAAAGATGAAGAACTCAGGTACAGACAGTAAAGTGACTTACCAATCGCATACAGTTCACCCTTAACTATGTTACCTCTGCTGGGTTGGCTATTTACCCTCAATGATTAAAATATTTCAGGGGAGATAGTTACCCAAATAATTTACATGAAATGTCCACATGAATGCCATACAGAAAAAAAAGTTCTGTTTTTTTTTTTCTTTTCAGTTTTGATTTGTGTAAAATTGTCTTTTTATTGCCTCAAAGCCAGAAAAACAGAGAACTTTAGAGTGCAGATGGGGGAAATGTGATCATTAAAATGGAGTGCAATGTTTGGGAAAAAAAAAAAGGTCCAGCCAGTGTTGAGGTGGTTCAGATATTCTCTGAATATCTTTAAGATTTATCTGTATTTAATTTAAGTTTACTGACATGGACTGCTCTCAATAATAAAGTACTTCCTGATCTCTGCTCTGTATAGTTTTAACTTGAATTATGTGAACATTTTTTTTTTGTTTTGTTTTTTGGAGAAGTTGGCCTTCCAAGGTCTTGATTTTACTGATGTCTCATGCCACTGCCAAAGAACTGCTCAACATCACATTGTTATTTTTCAAATAGGCAAGACAAAATTTCCAGACTCCAGGCCATGAAGTAGGATTTCCATTTTAAAATACTGAGAAATCTTATCTAATCATAAGACTTCTAGAACCTAAAAAGGCCTTAAAAACTTTAGCCTTTTATGCTTTTTTTTTTCTTTTTTTTTCTTTGTAACTAGGTAAGCAGAGGGAGGCTAAGAGAAGTTTAGATCAAATAACCAGGGAGTGGCAAACTTGGACCTTATGGGGCTCTGTTAGAGGAAGCTTCATTCATTTGCTGATGAAGTGTGGGTGAACTTTGTCAATTTGTGAGAATGGTGGTTGTTGGGGAACTGGACTGATCCAAGAGGAGAAACTCTAAGTGGGGAGATTGGGATAGGTTGAGGTCGGTCATGCAGTAAGGATAGGTAAAAAATCTACCTCAAAACAAGAATTATCTTTCATGTCTTTGTATCTCCATCAATTCTTGGCATAGCTTTTTTGAATTTTTTTGAATTGGTGGCTGAATTTTGAATTCATTTGCTTGCATTCTCAGCCACAAATAACCCAATGTATGACCCATGAATGAATGGGGAGAATATTTATCGGAGTTGGGAATTCTTTGAGATTGAAATGAAATGACCTATGTGGGAAAACCCTGTAAATGTAAAACTATCTGTTCTCATGCAAAAGATAATTCATATACATTTTTAATTGTGTGCCTAAACATACTTCATGCTCCCTCTTTATTCGCTTTTTTCCTCTAGCTCTTTCCCTTTCTTTTCTGAGCTGTCTAAGAGGACATGATCGCCTTCTTTGATACATCAAAGAACTTTGAACATGTATTACTACTTTGCCTTGTAGTGTTATTACTTGTTGACTTTTCTTATCTCAAGTGGCTGACCCATTCCATTTTGATTCTATAAGTACTCCTAAGGGCAATACCTCTGGAGTAACAGGTGAGGAACTAGGACTTCAACTTTAAAACATTGCAAAATCTCATCTAATCATAAAATATTTAAAGCATAAAAGGGCCCTACAAACTGCTCTCCTAAGTTTTTTTTTTAATAGATGAGTAAACTGAGGCACATTTTTGTTGAATTAAAGGGCATCTTATGTATAAGCACTGGATGCACTGAGAATTTCCACTATCAATATTTCTTTCTGATATTTTAAAAAATACCAGGGAATTACGGTAGCAGTTTTGTAATTAAAAAAATGAATTAAATATCTCTTCCTCTGGTCAGGAAGAGTATTCATGGAGTCTGTTGAGATCTGGTGCTTGGCCTTGTGACTGCCCATCAAATAGATCAGAACCTACAGACAGAATGGATGGATTTAGGCAAGTTTGACTGATAGAGTCCTAGGTTCTTTGCTTCTTTCCTTTCTTGAAGGAAAGAAGAGAAAGGTGGAGGAACATTAGAAGTGTCAGGATGGTATGAGTGTCCTCCATGCATCCCTGGGAATCTGTCAAGGAGGGCAACAGAGGTAGCCAAAGGAGCTTTAGTAACAGCAAAGGCCAGTGACATCTTACTCAGCCTGGTTAGAACTGGCAAAAAGTGGCCACTTTTGACAACCACTAACAAAATATACTTTATTCCCATATCTGCAAGTATAAGTCTATATGGTAAAGATGGCATGGAATTTTGTTTCTTTTTCCTGGAGCCATATCCCATGCATGTTTAATTTCAATGAGACATGCGCTTGGCAAATAAGAGTTTTGTGTTGACTCTGTCAGTCTGAGTTCAGGGAATCTCACTGACTCAGTGCATCTACCTACCCTGGATGGCAGTATTTTTTTTTTTTTTTACACAACCTGGTAGCTGAATGTAAGTCACAACTGTATAGTATTTTAGGTAATTTGAGGGAAATTCATAGGTAACTTTGATTATATGCAATTTTTGCTGCACATTGTTGACTTAGAAGGTAACTTGCATAGAAGATATGACTTGATACAGTGTCTTTAAATTCTCTGGCTACATTAAAGATCAGATACACTTGTGTCATTGGTTTGGGATTGAATAGTGAGTTTGTAATTCCAGTTTAGTGGGAAAATGGATTTCAAATTTTAAATATCCGAATTGGAAACACATTTTGAAACATCTTCTTGAAGTAAAAGAATCAGGCAAATAAATTCTTTGTAGATGTCTTCATATAACCATTATATTCCAAGCTCAGTAGATTAGTAACTTGTGTTTCTTTATGTTAAAAAAAAGTATTGTTTTCCTTGGTACATAATCCTTTTCTTTTCCTCTTAGTGTTTGCCTTAAGGATTCGGGAAGTTGGGAGCTCCTGTCATCATGGCGAACCTTCTAAAAACAGTGGTGACTGGCTGTTCATGTCCTTTACTTAGCAATTTGGGGTCCTGTAAGGTTCTACCTGGGAAGAAGGATGTTTTACGAACATTTCATACTCATCAGGCACTGTGGTGTAAAGCCCCGGAGAAACCAGGTAAAATCTTACTTCAGTGTTTGCTTTAAGTCATAGATATTAATAGCTCTCCTGGTGGTAGATAAAAGGGAAAACCATACAGTTTTATAACTTGGTGCTTACAAGTGATCATTTTAAATAAAAAAAAAAGAGTGCTGTCTTATATTTTCCATGTATAGAAATTCCTGATTGTCACTATTAAGAGAAGAAAGGAAAGTAGAAAGCGATAAAAGATAAATCAGTTGTACCTAGGGGGCTGTTGCTGCCTTCCAGTATTGGGGGTTTATACCATGTATAGCTCATCTATGCTCAGGAATTAAGAATTAAATGTATTAATTGATCTATGTTAGTGTTTTCCGATTTAATAAAGAGCACCTTCATCTCAGTTGCTCAGGTCAGAAACCTTGGAGTCATTCTGTACCCTCTGAATTGGTAAAGGTCAGTTCTACCTTKCGTCTACACTGACCTCTTCTCAATGGACCAGTCTTCTAAATAGTCTCTGAGCTTTGTACCTTGGCCCTCCTGCAGTTTGTTCTGCACTTGGTGGAAGAATCTTTAAAAGATAAGATCAGGTCTCTTGAGATTTACCAGACTTTCCAGCGCATGCAGAGTAGGAGTGCAAGTTTTCCAGGGGCCTGAAGGAGGAGAGACTGAGAGGGGGCTGTTCTAAGTCGAGTCAGCTTCCTCTTAGCAGTCTTTTCAAAGACTATCCCAGGGCCTCTGTTTACCCCTCACTGGCCATGCTTTAGGCACATGGCCATTTATAAAGGAGACTTGGACTTTTTTTTTTTTTTTTTCAGATGGCAACATACCCAGCTAAAAATGGCCTTTTGGTACTAAGATGGAGGGACAGGATGGATGTTAGGAGTCAACTTTTGATACAAAGGATAATCCTTACTTCTTTTTAAGTTTGTAGGACTGTTTGTTCATTAAAGTACCCTACATTGCTGGGCATTTTGAATTTTTGTGTCTGCTTTAAATAGACTTCAGAACCTCTTTTCTTGTTCTCAGATAACAAGTCACCGTTGCCAGGGTACCTTTCCCTAAGAGCTCCCAAATTTACCTTCAGATGCTTTCTTTTAAACTGCTGTGGAAAGCCAGATTGCCCACTGTGATAAAATTGTGCAAAAAAAAAAAAAAATGTAAATGACTGTTCTGAGGACATGAGACTTGTCCTTATGACTAATAAATTTCAACATCTCTATATTAACTGCATGAAAGATTTCTGGTTATTTTGGAGGGTGGTGTGTACCGTGGATTGAACTCAGGGGCACCCGACCACTGAGCCACATCCCCAGACCTATTTTGTATTTTATTTAGAGACAGGGTCACACTGAGTTGCTTAGTGGCTTGCTTTTTGCTGAGGTTGGCTTTGAACCCGTGATCCTCCTGCCTCAGCCTCCCAAGCTGCTGGGATTACAGGCGTGTGCCACCTGCCTGGCTAATTTCTGGTTCTCAATTATTTTCTGGATACTTCTTTTTTATCCCTAAAAGATAAGGATTCTATTTTTTCCCTTAATATAGCTAGAATTTCATTACCACATTGAGAAGCATAGAAAATAATTCCACTCAGGTTTTCTCAATTGTTTCTTTTTTTCTCTCTCTCCCTTTGTTCCTTTCCTCTTTTTCTTTTTCCTCCTCTGYCGCCTCCTCTTCATCTTCTTCTTTCCTTCTCCTCCTCCTTTCCTCCTCTTCTGCTCCTCTTCCTTCTTTTGGCTTGTTCAAAGAATGATCTTTCTTTCTATATTCTATCATTGTATCTAATATTGTATTATTCTGTCTTCATGTATTAGCTAGAATTTTTCTATCAAGAAACATTTGAAAGAGGGGAATAAATGTTTAATTCTTTCCCATTATTTACTATTTTTGCTAATAATGAGTTGTTTTCCTTATGTATTCGTTTCCTTTCCAAGCTTAGTGGCTTCATACAAGAGTTATTATCTTAAGGAAATCAAAATCAACTAGATCTCTCTGGGCCTAAGGTGTTGGCAGGTCTGCATCCCTCTCTGGAGCTCGGGGGAGGATGTTTCTCTGCCTTTTCCAGTTTTTGGAGAGCCCCGCCTTTGTTGACTTGTGGTCCTTTGTTCCACCTGCTTTCTTCCACATTTAAGGAACCTTGTGATTACAGTAGGGCAGTTAAGATAATCCAGGATATTCTTATCTGAAAGTCAGTTGATTAGCAACCTTAATCCCATCTGCTTCCTTAATTCCCCTTTGCCATGTGTTGTGATATACTCACAAGTGTTGGGTATTAGGACACTGAATATATTTGGGAGAACATTATTCTGCCTTCCACATGCTATTATTCTCATGTTGACCAATAAAGCTTTAAAATATTTTATTTGTTGAGTATCAACACGAACATATGGATTATAACGTCTTTGGATGTATTTTACTCCATTGCTATTAATTATTATTTTTGATGCTTCAAATTATAGTTGGCCCATAGAAGCCATTTTAAGTTAGCTTCTAAATTTCTTTGACATGACTTGAGTTATCTTTGGTAGCTTCCTTGATTTTTGACATGTAGGGCCTAGATTTGATGACAGATGATTGAACTTTAGGTCAGAGTATATGATTTAATTTTGCACATCAATCCAAATGTTTGTGAGCTATCTCTTTTCCTCCCTCTCTTCCAAGTAAGAGTAAGCATTTATTTGCCTTTGGTTTACTGTAAATTTTTAATGCACAAGTAGTTTGGAAATCTAAGACAATGTTCAAATTCAGATAGTTTTAGGTTGACTTAACTTCTCCAAGATCTTACTTAACAACTTATTCTGAATCAATAATTTGATTCATTCTTAAAATTATGAGTTTAGATTTTAAAGAGTAGATTTCCTAAGCTTTAGTAAAACTTATAAAGAAATAGATACTCTAGTTTAAAAATTGTGTTTATATCTACATATTGAATGAAACACYGGAAGTAAGTAATATCCTTAAGCTAACACTGGCCTGAACCATATGTAAGTAATATAAGTATATATCATGCAGTCTCTCTTGGTTTGCAAAGAACAGAATCTTAATGGGTTATATTTTTCGAAGAGGGTGTATTGTATGATTCTTGGGAAGAATGGGAGCCCAGGAGACCCCTCATCTACTTTTGGAGAAGTGGAATGTTATTCTGGATTTTATAGCCATGACTTATCTTCCTTCTTTTAATACCCACTACTGCTGCTGACCTTCCTTTGATTGCTCATGGCTATGCTTACATATACCTTTTACATCGTTCTTTTCTCCTTGTCTTTTTTCATGAGTCTCCCATTCAGACTCCCTGGGAGAACATTATTGGGTTGAGTAGACGCTGGCCAACATGAGTGTCCTTGAGCAGAATTCCTGTATAAGTGATCTTCTGGATCGTAGCTGCTGGTTTTCTGAATGTCTGCCCTATAGATGATTATTATCTAGGACCCAATTGGTGATCTCTTATCAGTTGTTGTTAAACTTGTAGGGTCTCAAGATACCACATTTGAAAATCTCTGAGAAATTACCTGTGGCCAAATTGGCAGGAAGGGGACTTTCAGTGTGGCAGGACACCAAAGTATGTAACATAGGATTGTTCTTCAAAACAGTGATTTACGCTGGGTATGGTGGCCCATACCTGTAATCTTAGTGACTCAGGAGGCTGAGAGAGGAGCATTTTAAGTTTGAGGCCACTCTCCGCAGCTTAGCGAGACCCTGAATAGCTTAGCAAGACTCTGTCTCAAAAAATAAAAAGGGCTGGGGATGTGGTTCAGTGGTTAAATGCCCCTGGGTTCAATCTCCAGTGCCAAAAATATGAAAACAAACAAACTAAAAAAACACAGCAATTTACTTTTGTCTTTGATAAAGGTTAGGACAGGGAGACCAGAATCCCCAAGTTTTAGAGTTAGCATGCTATGTAACCTCTCAACCCATTTTTTCCCTCTAAGAATGCCTTAAAGAAAGCAATTTGATTAAATAAAATACTCAAAACATTCAGGAGAGTGGGCATAAAAATTTCCTATCATCTTTCAATGAAAGTAAAAGAATTGTGATTGTGAATCAAAAACATCATTTTGGATAGCAACATGTGCATGCAGTATATTTTTTCTTTTTTTCTTTTTGGAGAGAGAGAGAGAATTTTTAATATTTATTTTTTTTTTAGTTTTGGCAGACACAACATCTTTGTATGTGGTGCTGAGGATCGAACCTGGGCCACACGCATGCCAGGCGAGCGCGCTACCACTTGAGCCACATCCCCAGCCCCAGCATGCAGTATATTTTGAAGAACAGACTGCCCATTTCCATTTCCTGAAGTCTCTTGTTAAACATTTTTTTTTTTTTTTTGCTTATTACCTTTGTCTGTTTGTAGGAATTCCATATAAGCAACTGACTGTTGGAGTCCCCAAGGAGGTTTTCCAAAATGAGAAGCGAGTGGCATTGTCTCCTGCTGGTGTCCAGGCCTTGGTCAAGCAGGGTTTTAATGTTGTCGTGGAATCAGGTGCTGGCGAAGCTTCCAAGTTTTCAGATGATCACTACAGAGCAGCAGGTGCCCAAATCCAAGGGGCGAAGGAAGTTCTTGCTTCTGATTTGGTGGTCAAAGTAATTATTCCTTTTCCCTTTCCCATTGATAGCATGCTGACTTTTGGAAATTGTTTTACAGAAAAATTAAATTACTTTCTTTGGTTTCTTAGTTTTTCCAATGTTCTTTCTTTTTAATTGATACATAATAATTATACATATGGGTACATATCTGTGTATGTATTTGTGGGAAATGTTCAAATGAGCATAATGAAAATTTGCAGTCAGCGGTCCAGGATACCCAAAGGCAAGTATTTAATTACTGCTAGAATTGGAAAGAAGATAAGAATCTCAGCCTGGGATTGAATGTACATTGTCTGCTACCTAAGGGCAGATGATTTGCACTGATATAAGTGTTATTTCTAGAGAGGGCATGACTATTCAGAGAAAGCAACATCTGGTAAGTGGCAAGTGGCCTTGCTGACTTTAAAAGAAAGTCTTAAGGAAATGTATAGTAGAAATTATATGCTAATGAACTTTAGAATTAAAATTTGAATTAAAAAAGTCATAAAAAAGGAAAGCTGGAGGGGCTGGGGCTCAGCAATAGAGCACTCRCCTCGCATGTGGAGACCCTGGGTTCGATTCTTAGCACTGCATAAAAAAAAAAAAAAAATAAGTGCAATAAAGGTATTGTGTTCAACTACAACTAAAAAGTAAATATCAAAAAAAAAAGGAAAGTCTGCATCAAGAGTCTAGTGCAGATGATAAATAGAATTGGGCACTAAATTAAATCTTGCACTTTCTACAACTAATGTAAGCAAAGTGTGGATTATGGATGTATGATTACCAGATTAAAATAAACTCACTTTTCAGAAAGATATGCTTTTTAACAAATATTTTTTAGTTGTCAGTGGATCTTTATTTTATTTATTTATGTGTGGTGCTGAGAATTGAACCCAGCACCTCACAGAGCTACAACCTAGCCCAGATATGCTTTTACATATTGATTTCTAAGAAGACTCAATCACATAGGTGTGTGTGTGTGTGTGTGTGTGTGTGTGTGTGTGTGTGTTTTGAACATAAAGTCCACTGAATAACTTGACAGCATCTTTTTTTTTGGTACTGGAGATTGAACCCAGGGGTGTATAACCACTGAGCAACATCCCCAGGTCCACCCTTTTTTAAAACAAAAACTTTTTAGTTGTAGATGGACATAATATCTTTATTTTTATTTGTTTGTTTTTTTGTGGTGCTGAGGATCGAACCTAGGGCCTCACATGTGTGAGGCAGTGCTCTACCACTGAGCTACAATACCAGCCCCCTGGCTTTTAAAAAAAAAAAATTTATTTAGAGAAAGGGTCTCGGTAAGTTTCTAAGTGCCTTGCTAAGTTGCTGAAGCTGGCTTTGAACTTGAGATCCTCTTGCCTCAGTCTCCCAAGCTATAGGGCTTACAGGTGTGCACCATCATTTGCCCGGTCTTGGTAGGATCTTAAATGGTGATTTTGGCAGCAGATATAAAAGACCAATTTTTATTGTAGAAAAATGATTAGTGAAATGTATGTCTGGAGATAAGTTGTAATTCAGTTAAAGCTTTTAAAACTTTTAGGTTTATAGATATTTGGTGATATAATTTGGTATAGAGTAAAAGAACTTAGGGAAAATAGAAAAATAAGTACAATCCATTGCATCATGTTTTAGGGGACAAAACCTTTTGAAATGTCTTTCAATAAATATAAGAATATATGTAAATTTTGAAGTGGTTTGTTTTTCATTTAGGGATTCATAATGTGTACAACCGTGTTAAAGGTGTGATGAGAAATTTGTAACATAGAGACTGATAGCTTTATACCAGCACTAATAAACTATTTAATTTGGGAGCTCTCTCTTGAGTCAAGCCTATTAATATCCTTTGGAACACATTCAGAGGAACATTCAGTTGGCTTGACATACTCAGATGCCAGCAGTCTCAGCTGAGAATTTCATAAAGGCCAGTAGAATCAATTTGGAGTTGTTCTTTAATTTTTATTAAATCTGTGATATGGATTTTCATGGAGAAAAAAGTATATAGTGTCCAAGAAGTGTTTCTTTCTTTTTTGGTGTTTGGAATTGAACCCAGGGTCTTACACATGCTATAGGCAAGTGTTCTACCGCTGAGATACATACACTCCTATCCCAAACTGGATTTTTTTTTCTGAAATTTTAGGGATTAAATCCAGGGCTTTATGCATGCTAAGCAGGTTGTCCCACTGAGCTACATGCCTGCTCCAAAGTCTTGAATCATAAGCATTACCAGGTCAATACCTGAAATAGGCAAAGGTGTCTAGAAGCTGAAGGGAGATGACATGATATAATAGAAATCACTCATCCAGCATTTGTATTTAAAACGTAAGTCCAAGATGCTGAGTTTTCTGTTTTTACTTGCCTAAAAGCATTACTACAAACTGGGAACTAATAAAATGTCTACTAGTTTGATTTATGTTCATTTATAGTCATCTGGCATTTTAAGGTGACATAAATCTATACTTACTACCATGGAGTCTTTAATTTACAATGTTCCTAATGTCTGACTACTCCAGATGTTTATGCTTGTCAAAATTAGCAGGTATTGAATCTTTGAATACGCAAAAAAAAATTCCCATGTATTAATCTGTCTTTTAATTTTACCAGAGTAATTGATTTTGGGAGGACAGGTTTGTTGTAAAACCTCCGTATTATCTCACTGCTCTTTAGTTAATTGTCAACCCTGACCCAAACTGTGTTTTTCCTAGGTGTGTGTGCTCTCTATTCAGAACAGTCCATAGGTCATTAATCAAAAAGTTGCATATTTCTTTGTGTGCCTTACTTTTCTTATGAATTTGGGCAGATACTTCTTAATGAAAGAATAACTTCTAGATTATTATTTCAGTCATTGCATATTTTTTGAATTGTTTGTTTAAAAATATGATAAAGATTTTTATGTCTGTATTTTCTTTGCCATGCTGGGATTATATCCAGAGCTCTGCACATGCTAGGCCTATACTCTTACCACTGAGCTACATCGCCAGTCCAATATTCATATTTTAATCTGTGATTTGACTTTCTTTTCAGGTACGAGCCCCCATGGTTAATCCAACATTAGGTGTTCATGAAGCTGACCTTTTAAAGACATCGGGAACACTGATTAGTTTTATTTAYCCAGCCCAAAATCCAGACTTGCTAAATAAACTTTCCAAAAGAAAAACTACAGTTTTGGCAATGGACCAAGTTCCAAGAGTCACAATTGCTCAGGGATATGATGCACTAAGCTCTATGGCCAACATTGCAGGGTAGGTTTATTCGTTTCCATTTCAATTAAATAAAAGCACAATGGTGATACACAGACATCCACCCTGTAGCTCTTCTGTCTTCTAGTGATGTCCTTTGCAGTAATTGTTGGAAATTGTGGTCTTCTGAGACTACACTTAAATTATTTTTATGACTTATTGTTTCATTGTGATCAGATTAAAAGTGAACGCTAACACACACTCCTTTTTAGTCTTCCTGGATGGAAGAGAAGTAGTATTTTTATCTACCAAAGGAAATAACTGTCAGATTATTTGTATGAGGATTACAAATTTTGTGTATGTATACACGTATATACTAGTTTCAAATTGCTGTTTTTGTAATTTGTCAAAAGTGGTCAAAAGTGGTTACATATTGGCAGTTTGATATGGGAAAATGAAGGTAGTTTATAAAATATTTTAAATAATTTTTTTTGCATGAAACAAAGTTTATACATTACAACTGAAGAGTCTGGGAAGGTCTTTTTTTCTCTGGGGAAGCTGAATGAGCTATGTGTTGTGAACATGAATTTTGATTTCTCCTGTCACATGATGTCAGGTTTGAAATTTTCCACTTGTGGTGTCTGGATTTTGGAACACTTTGGATTTCAGCGATTAGGAATGCTCTATTTGTATATACATATTAACAGATAGACCATCTTAATGACGTTTTGCTTAGGTGAATTCATAAAATATTTAATGAGTACGGAAAATGTCTGTTTTAAATGAAGTTTCATCTGGAGTCAAAACCCATACTGATGACTGAGAGCCATGTCATCTTATTTTCAAGGCCACGATAGTAATACGCTTCAGTTGCCTGCCAGCAGTATTTCATTCCCTGTTTTTTGCCTGATTGCTATGTAGAGAAGAATTCTAAGATCCATTTTGCTTGGAAGAATATGACTATACTGGAGTAATCCTGCCTGCTGTGGGTGAGGTAGAGTATAGTCAGAATCTTTTGAGCAAAAGAAATATTATGAGGCAATATAGGATGGGAGGAGTACTCAGAACCATGCCTATCTCCATCTCACCCACTGTGGTCCCAGTTTGTCTGAAGTTTGAACCTTTGTGGATCCATGGGACACAGTTTGAAGACTCACTTATGTGATGTCCTGAGCTGACATATGCAAAGGTCATGCTGTGAAATGAATTACCTGGTATACATAACCACATGGTGTGGAATAAATCATTATCTAACATAGACACCAGCCACATCATGGTGAAGATGAGTTGCTTCTAGTTCAACTATTATTTCTGAGCTTTTGTAAAAATACCCATTTTTTCTATTATTAACACTTTTCTTGTGTATTTTTTTGTATAATCTCTCATTTGTGTAATTTTTCAGCATAGCAACTGCATATTTTAAAACATAATTCCCAAAGTAGTTTCTTACAGTGATCTTTGTATAGTTATCATATTTGCTCTTTGAAAAGTTTTGAAAAGTTCTATCATTTGAATTCAGAAGACTAACAGATAATCTCTAAAATACTGTTTCCTGTTCCAGTATGATTAACCAACATTAGTAGTGACATTTTTGCATTGTTACATCAAGTACAAAATATGATCAGGGAGAGGTTTTGTTGCCAGTTAGAAGTTGGGTCTTAACGTTAAGTGGTTGTTTTATTAATGAGACAGAGAATATTACTGAGCAAGAATGTATAAGTGCCTTTAAAAAAAATGTTGTATACTTTAAAAAAATTTTTATTTTAGTTGTCATTGGGTCTTTTACTTATTTATATGTGATGCTGAGGATTGAACCCAGGGCCTCACCTATGCCAGGCAAGTGCTCTATCACTGAGCCACAACTCCAGCCCTATACGTGCCCTTTGAGTATAAAAATATATAAAATGGAGGTCAGTGTAGTATGTCCAAGTTCTCCTAGTAGAGTAAGGATGGTGCACACTGTTAGTTTTTATTTCACAGCTTGTTTCTTTAGCTGAAACACTTAAATGTTTATTKCGTGTTTACTATGTGACAGGCAGTATGCTAAGCACTTTGCCTGCATTATCTCATCTAGTCCTAACAACAGCTCTCAGAGATAGATGCTTTTTTTGTCTCCATTTTATAGATGAAGAATCCAAGAATTACATTTTCTCAAGATTATAAAGCTAATCAGTGGTAGGTCTAGGACATAAACTGAGGTTAGTTTATCTGAGAGTTTCATGCTTTCAATCGTTAGAGATCAAGAGTTGGAATCTTATTATGTACAGCATATGGTTAATCTAATTCTTTTATTTGAAAGTTTCCCCCCTGTATTGTTAAGTACTACATAATCATCGAAGAAAATTTAGACAGCATAATAAAGTATAAAGGATGTGGAGTCTCAGCATCCAAAGAAAAGCATTGCTGTCATTTTCTTGACTTTCCTTGTTACTTTTTCCTTCTCAACTAATCTTCTTTGGTATTCCTTATGAAGGGGCTAGGTAGCCTTAAGGATAAGAAAGTGGCTTAGAGCCAGGCTACCTGATTAGGTCACTGGTTCTGACATTTACTGGCTGGGTGACCCTGGACAAGTCTTTTCATCTCTGTGTATCTCATTCTCCTCTCGTAAATAAAAGTGATGATCCTACCTATCCAGAAGCTTGTTGTGAATATTAAAGGAGTGAGTATATGTGCAACACTTAGAGCTGTTCTTGACACTTAGTAAATACTAAGTATTAGCCATATTCTTGACAAGGCAAATTGATAACCTGCAATAATGTATGGGCCAAAGACCTTTTATTTCATGGGATTATCTATGTATTTACTTTTTAAAGGTATAAGGCTGTTGTCCTAGCTGCAAATCATTTTGGACGATTTTTCACTGGTCAGATCACAGCTGCTGGGAAAGTTCCTCCAGCTAAGGTAGGTACAACTTTCAATGATTCTTCATAGTACAAATTGGAAGCAAGGGTATGTATAGTCTTAAATTTAATTATTTTAAAAATTTTATGTGTATTAGTGTCACTGATGACTTCTGTGTGCTCATAAATTTAGGGTGACATCTCGAAGCTCTGAACGTTTAAGATTGCTTAAGAAAATGAAATTTGACTACTTTTGATTTACTAACTTGAACTCTTTTTTTAAATGTATTTTTTAAAGTTCTGGTTGGACACAATACCTGTATTTTATTTATTTATTTTTATGTGGTGCTGAGGATCCAACCCAGTGCCTCACACGTGCCAGGCGAGTGCTCACCTGCTGAGCCACAACCCCAGCCCTTAACTTGAACTCTTAAAGGGATTTTGGATAACTTGGGCTGTGGGCCTGTTTGCACGACTTTTTTTTTAAAAAAAAAAAAAAACTTCAATGTACTATTCAGCAAATTCTGGGTTTCCCAACATTGCAACGTCTTGCAAAGAAAATATTACTTTGGTTTCCTCACTCCTCAATTTTTGGGTAACGAGGACAGAGGATGGGAGGTGATGTAATCAGGGCTTTTGGCAGAGGGGAAGGGTGCTGCAGCTTTGAATCCAGTTGGAAGCAGAGAGGAGCAGTTAGTGATGTGAAGCAGGGAAGGCTATATGAAAGGACAGGAGTTTTTTTTTCTTTATTCTAATTTGTTATATATGACAGCAGAATGCATTACAATTCAGGAGGTTTTGTTTTGATCCTTCAATTCTAAGTTCTCTGAATGTCAATATAGATCCTGAGGTAAGGTATAGGAAACAGGACTTTAAATATCTGTCTGTAAAGTACAGGTTTACCTTGTGCTTCCTACTTTTAAATACTTCATTGTATAAACCCAGAGTGTTAAATAAAAAAATTTTCTAGGGAAGAAAGCCCCAAAGCAATAAGCACCTAATAACAGTTTTGTGAAATCTTGCTATTTATTGCTTTGAAGAATAGGCCACATGAAAAAACAGCAAGTGCTTCAGTGGAGGCCATAGTACCTAGTGAGAAACTACGAGCAAATAGCACAGATGTGATATGTAAAATGAGGACATTTTGACCCGTTCCTTAGGATTGTAAGAAAATGTCTTGCATTCGAGGTGGCCAGAAGTTCATGCCGTTCTGAAACTGGCTGAATACTTTGATGCACAAAATCCACAATTCAGTTTTGATTAGAATCTTTCTAGAAATATATGGAAGTTGATAGGAAAGCTGTGAATATAAGGGGTTAAAAAGTGAAACAGAAGGCAAGAGGCTTAAAAGCAGGAGAGTCATTCAGTCTTTAAAAAGTGGAAAAGAGATTGTCTTTATTCAAGAGTTTAAATTGCAGCTTAAAGGATTTGGTTACATGGCAAAAATAGTTTTCTGAAACTTAGGAATTAGTCACTAGCTGGGCTCATGGAGGTAGACTACATGATATTTTATTTGTGTTTCTTGTAAATATAGAGGTTTTTTTGTTTTTGTTTTTGTTTTTTGGGTTCTGGGGATTGAATTCAGGAGCACTGAGTCCCCAGCCCTATTTTGTATTTTATTTAGAGACAGGGTATCACTGAGTTCCTTAGCACCTCACTTTTGCTGAGGCTGGCTTTGAACTTGCAATCCTCCTGCCCTCAGACTCGTGAGCTGTGGGGAGGACTGAAATCAATCAGTTGTTGAGTCTTAATGAAATGACAGGTATTGTTATAGGAGCTGGGGGATGGACTGAATAAGACAAACATCCTGGCCACATAAAACTTACATTCTAGTGGGCTCATAGTGAGGACACAACCCCCCAAAATATACAAGATAGTGTTAGATAWAAAGGAAATGAACCAGATGAGGTGATAGTAACAAAAACATGTGAGCCATTGAGCTGGGAGATGGGGAGGCTCCTCTGACATTTGAGCTGATACCTCAAGGATGGAAAGAAAGAAACCAGGATTTCTAAGAAACTTAGGATTCTAGGCAAAGGGCCAACACATATAGAGGACCTATTATGAGAAAGACTTTATTTAGTGTGTTCTAGGGAATAAAGAAGGCCATTGGCCTTGGAGGATGGTGAACAAGGTGGGGGCCATCTGCAATGATGTGGGAAAGGAAGGTTAGGTTGGATCACGTAGGGCCTCTCTGATAGGTCATGTTACAAAATTGGAGTTCTCTTGAAGGTGAGAGAAATGTCTCTTAGGATTTAAAAGAGTTATCTGGCTGTTATGGGTGGGAGCTGGTACAGAAGGAACAGTGAAGATAAGATCTCTTAGGAACTGGTTGTACCTGGGAAGGTGGTAGTAACAGAAATGTAGAGAAGGGGGTGGACTGGGAGATCTTTGGGAGTCAAACCCGGTAGTACTTGTTGGTGGGTTGGAGATAGGAATATGTGCAAAGGGAGGACTCAAGATGACCTCCCCAGTTTGTCTCAAGGAGTTGTGCTTAGTTAGTACCCTTTACTGAGATGGGGAAGCCGAGAGGAGGAACAGGTTATATATGACTGAACATCGGGAACAGTACTATAATGTTCTCTTGCCCTTGCCCTTTCCTGACTGTATGTCCACACTGTGCTGGTTAGCAATGACTGCTTTAGTTATATTCCATCACTTAACATAACAACAAAATTTTCACTGCTGTAATGTGGATGCCAAGCAGCTTGCCTAAGGTCCTCTACAACTAGGTAGTAAGAGAGTCAGAATTTCAACCTAAGCTCTCAGTCTCTTTTCCTCCATCCCATACTAAAGAGCAAGAGTAATTTACTATTGTAGTATCTATATTGATTTATTCATGTGCAGTTTTGTCTTTAAATTATACAGTCTTTGGCTATTTCGGTTTTTGTTAATTTTTTTATATAGAGAACAAATGGGTGACTTTATCATATACATGTTTCAAAGTATATACACATTGTGGAATGGTTAAATCTAGCTAATTAACACACACATTACTTCAGGTAGTTGTATTTGTGGTGAGAGCACTTGACATTCTGTATTTTTCAAGAGTACAGTGTATTATCAGTAACTGTAGCAATCTAGCTGTACCATAAATCTCTGGAAATTCATTCTTCCTAACTGTAATCATGTATCCTTATTATTTCTTGTTCAGAATAACTTGGCCTAGCCCTGTGACTTTTACTTATTTCATTTATTTGTGTATGTTTGTTTGTTTATTAATTTATAAGTGGTGGAACTTTAGTGTAGAACAGGGTTGGTGTCTCAGAGCCCTGCTTGTTCCCTCTGGTCCCCTTCCATCCCCTTTCCTATAGATTCCTCCCACTTCCTATGAGAAACCATCATCAAGATCAATTGACATGGTCTCTGAGACACTGCCCAGGTCACTGGGGAAGTTTGACTGCCTAGAATTCTTAAAAAGGCAAAAGCAGTTGTGAGCTTGATGGGTGGGTAGGAATTTATAAGCTTGACTGTTTCTGTGGGTGGCTTGTTTTTTTTTTTTTTTTTTTTTCCCCCTTCAGCAGGAACAGGGAATTGCCTTCAATGGACTATTTGTAGGATGTATAGCAGAACTTTTTTTTTGGACCGTCCCTTCTAGACTAGAGACAACATTGTTCTTGCTTTGTTTTGTGAAGGCGGGAGAGACTTGTTTCTGAGGAATTCTTTAGTTCTCTTGGCTCTGATCCTTCCGTGGTGTGGGAGATTAGTGATACTGCTTCAGATTTCAAGTATAGTTGATTCAGAATGATTCAGGATTATGTGGTTGGTCACCAGCTATTCTATTCAGAAGCTTTTGAGCTCAGAATAGATGGGGTAGATATTCACTAAAGTTGCGCCCATCTTTGGAACATGTTTTTCATATTTTGTAACACTAGGAAAAAACCTTAGAATGTGAGAGCAGAGTAGTTTGAATGTCATCTGGGAATTTTAAAAGAAGTAGTTTTTATACAGCAAGAAAGAACCTATTCATCTTTAGCCAGGTAATGCTGATTGTGCTTACATAATTTTTACACTGAGATGCTGATAGGCTATTTTTAGTCAAGGTTATTGGTCAATTCTAGCAGTTGTTCTTTTGTTAAAATTTTAAAGACAGTGCTGATTCAGCTAAAGGATAGACTGTCTACCCAACCCATGCATGGAGGGCTGGTCATTATCATGACCACTTATTGAAAGCTGTGTTCCAGGCACAAAGAGTTGTTAGCTAGTAATTTTTCTTAATCAATTGATAATGGACTTTAATGAAAACATAAGTGTCTCTCTCTCCTTTTCCAGATTCTGATAGTTGGTGGTGGTGTTGCTGGGCTTGCTTCTGCAGGTGCAGCAAAGTCGATGGGTGCAATTGTTCGAGGATTTGATACGAGGTAAGTGCCTTACTTATGATGGAGGTTAAGCTGAAAGCATTTTGTTTCAAATAGGGCCTATTACATTTTCCTTAGAATTTGTAAATTGCAATTGTGAAACAGCTCAGTAAACTCTCTCCATTTGAAAATGGTCTATTCTATTTTTGCATGTGATAACTGAGGAAAGTGCTCCACTTTTTAAAAGTTAGCTTAGAGTGAAAATGTATTAGTGGAAAAAACGACAGACAGGTCCAATCTCAGTAAAGCAGAAGTAATAAACAAAAGAATTTCAAACTAACAACTCTGTTCTTTCTCTGCATGGATTAACAAAGGGACTAGAGTTATCTCTGTTCTGCTTTTCAACATATTGCTTTAGTATGTCTTGCTTCTCTTCACAATGCTTTTAGACTCAGAGCATGAGCAGAGCTGGTTGTGAGCATGAAGAGGGTGGCATAGTAGACATCTTAGTGAACAGACAGAGTAAGGAGAGTACCCTACATTAAATGGATGGAAGCAGGTAGAACTGACTGGGCAACACTCTCCAAGTGCTTTAATCTAAAGAGTAACACTACTTGAATTATTATTATTGTAGTATTTATGCTAAGGTAACTACTTTGAGCATAAAGAGAAAGTTGATTTCTCTAAAGCTGGCATAGAAGTATTTTCCTGGATTGTGTTTAAAGAGAAGTTTGATTAAATTGTTCATCACTGAAGACACTAGATACAGGATTTTTTTGGGAGGTGGTACTGGGGATTGAACTCAGGACTTTATTAAATACTTATTGAGTATCATTATCATTTAGGTATTTTGGTGCTTTTTTGAGGTTGAAATGTGGTTATTTATTATCAACTGAGGGCAGTAGAGCCATAATAGCACTGCCAGTCTTATTTATTTTTTCGTGCTGGGCATTGAGCCCAGGAACTTGTGCATGCCAAACACGTGCTTTACCCTTGAGCTATACTCCTCAACTGCCAATCTTGAATATACAATGATAAAAAAAATTCAGTTGGAAAGAATGTGACTTTTCCAAGTAAAGATTCTTCCATAGAATATTGTCAATGGTTCTGACCTGAGTTTAGAGAAGTGATGTACTGATAGAAATCAGTTGATATGAGAAAAGAAGACATTTCCAAAGTAGTCAGGTCACTAACCAAAGATAGCCAGGGTTAAGCATCCTATCCATCCTGGTTTTTCATTTTTAATGTTTACTGATATGAAGATTTTTCTAGACCTTCAAACTTTTAAAAATAAGTTTATTTTTACCTGGTTTGGTAGTGAAAGCCTGTAATCCAGCAACTCAGAAGGCCAAGGCAGGAGGATCCCAAGTTTGAGGCCAGCTTCAGCAACTTAGTGAAATGCTGTCTAAAAACAAAACAAAAAACAAAAAGACAAATAAAAAACAAAAAGAAAAAGGGACTGGGGATGCAGCCCCTTGGGTTCAATCCCTAGTACAAAAAMCCCCCCAAAAAACCAAAAACCAAAACAAAAAACCTGGTTGTTTATATTTTAATGTAGTGGACAATATATTAAAGTAAAAATGCATCTATTTGACCTAGAGATGTTTTGGAACTTGGAATTGGGACAACCTTTGAGAATTTAGTATATTGATGCCATTGTTATAGATCATACATGGAATAGACAGCTGGAATAAAGCTATTGCTTAGCTCTATTTTTATTTATAATTTATTAAGTTTGGTATACATATAACTCAAGTGTATAATGAAGAAAGATGTAACGGAGTGATATAATCATTATCTAAGAATTATAGCTCATTAATCTAATCTACTTTGAGACTGGGGGTTTGGTTTCATATTATAAATATGAAATCCAAATATGTTTGGAAGACATACTTGTTTGAAAATTTTTGTTGGAAGACTAAATCATATATATATTTTCAGTTAAACATTTTAAAAACTTAAGGACAACTCATTTACCAATGACATTAAGGAGTGTGATGTTTGAATTTTTTCAAACAATTGGACTGAGCTGTAGATTGGTAGAACATGTGATTAGCATGCACTATGTCCTGGGTTCAATGTCCAGCATCAAAAAAAAAAAAAGCAAAAAAAAAAGGAAAATTACTTGGAGATTCTTCTTTTTTTTTTTTTAAGTATTTATTTTTTAGTTGTAGGTGGACACACAATATCTTTACCTCATTTTTTTGTGGTGCTGAGGATTGAACCCAGTGCTTCACACGTGCTAGGTGAGCGCTCTACCACTGAGCCCAACCCCAGTCCTGAGATTCCCCTCTTAATAATAGTGAAAAATATAAAAAAAGCACAAAAATGGAAGCAAAAATTCTGCCTAGAAATAAATATTAACATTTTAATATATATTCCTTTTTGTACATATTAATTAAAAATGTATTTTTACTAATGGTACTATTTAATTTATTTATTTGTTCTAATTAGTTATACACGATAGCAGAATGCATTTTGATTCATTGTACAGAAATGGAACACAACTTTTCATTTCTCTGATTGTATGTGATGTGGAGTTGCACCACGTGTGCAGTCCACATCATGTATAATCATACATGTACTTAGGGTAATGATGTTCTTCTCATTCTACCATCGTTTCTACCCCCATGTCCCCTCCCTTTCCCTCTCTCCCCTTTGTTAGGTTCTTTTAATTGTAGAGCATGAAGATCTTTCTTTTCCTATAAATATTTTTAATGTCTGCATAGAATTCTRTTGTATAGAATAGTGATTTACTTAATTAGCTCACCCAAAATACATTTTTACTATATTAAATACTATATATGTATTTAATTAAAAATTATATATAATTATATAGACAGACATAGATGGAGATTATAAGATAACAAATATATATTTCTTGTCAAAAATTCTCAGGCCCCTTCCCAGAACCACTGAATTATAATCTCCTGCAGAGAGGCCAGAAGCTATATTTTTAGCAAGAATAGCAGGTTATTCTTGCCATCAGGAAAGTTTGGGAAACCATAGTTTAAGCCAGTAAATCACTAGTATCCATCATGCTCTGGAGCGTGTGCCTAAAGAGTAGAACATGCAGTCCACACTGAGCAAGAAGTTCTCTGTTAGCTTAATTAACAAAGCATATTAATTAATGGCCCACACCTGCCCAGCCTCCCCCCAGGACACTCTCTCTTTCTCTCTCTCTAGAGGAACATATGTGTTTGGAGATATCTCATTATTTCCTTTGGATAAATTCTTAGAAATAGAATTTTGGGGTCAAAGATACATACACTTGAAATTTTGATACAGTATTCTTACGTGATGAGATTAATTTGTGAGCAAAGATATAACAATAAAGATTCCAAAGYAGCACTTATATTTTTCTAGGTTTTCATTTTAAAATCAACTTTATCAAGCTATAACGTACATATAAGAAGATACACTATTTTAAATACACTATTTTAAATACATGGTCTGATGAATTTTGAAGAGTGTTATCGTTTGTAAAACCACCACCACTTTAAGATACAGAATATTTCTCTCATCCCAAAACATTCCTTTGTGCTCCTTCCCAGTTAGTCCTGGCTCCAACCAACCATTGATATGTTTCTATCACTACAGCTTTGTCTTTTTAGGGTTTCATATAAAGAAACTCATACAGTGTGTACTCCTTTCATAGTGGGACCACAAGGAATATACTTAGGATGTTATAGGTGAGAGAGATGTTAAACTCAGAAACGTGGTAAATATTAATGTCTGTATGATCATAACAATAAGTACAAGCAGTACATGTTCATTACTGAAAAATACAAAGAAACTAGAGAAGAGAATTAAAATACCTTTTATAATACTACGGGCCAGATGTATTGCTAATGATATTTTGGTATAGTTTCTTAGAGTTTATGTATATATACCTTTTGTATGAAATTTGGATCATATAATAAATGTATATCACTCAACATATATATAATTATATGTATAATTTTGAATCCATCTCAATTTTTATTAATATCAGCAGACATTTAGAAACTTTTGAAAGACCTTTATTCGTGTGGCTGTAACAAATGGAAAATACCAATTCGAATGGACTTAAACCATAAGACAATGCATTCTCCATCCTTAATGAAATTCTGTGGGAAGGACTCCCTTTCACACTAGAGTCACCTGCTTTCTGGTGCTATCAAAGACCAGGCTCTTCTGTCTTTCTTCTCTGCTGTCCTCAACTTTGGCTTCCTCATACGGCTGATTCCACTTGTGCTGGCAGCTTGACCTGCAGAGGCATTCTGGGGCTGCCCATGCCTTGTTAATGAAGTTAGCAGAGAGAGAACGTCTTGCTCAGTGTGGACTGCATGTCCTACTCTTTATGTACACACTTCAGAGCACGATGGTTGCTAGGGATTTATTGGCATAGACCATGGTTTCCCAAACTTCCCCGATGACAAGAATGACCTTCTGTTCTTGCTAAAAATATAGCTCCTGGCCTCTCTGTGGGATATTATAATTCAGTGGTTCTGGGAAGGGACCTAGGAATTTTTAACATGTACTTCAAGTGATTATTGTCATTAGGGAGATTTGAGATTTATTGTAGTGGGATGGATATTGGTGGGTACCACCACAGAGCTGAAATTTTTGTTGGTTTCAGTTTTTCAACCAGCATACAGTGGTTAGGTAACAATTATTTATTTATTCACAAACTGAATTTATTTCTATGTAACTTAAACATGTTGACTTTTCGCATTTTACAGTTTACCACCATTTATAGGTTACTCTCACAATTTAATGAGGACTGGAGGTGAAAGTCATTTTGTTAAAATATTCCTATGTAAAAGAGTCATTTATGTGGGAAAAGCCCCAGTAAGAATAAGCTCAGAACAGTTACAAATGAGAAACACAACTTGGGTGGTATGAATGATGTAAAATCTCAATGTGGATCAGATATAACATCTTTATCAATAGTGGGGCCACAAGGAGCATAACTGATTACTGGAATTTCAGTAGAGAAAAAATATGTTCATAAAAGTATCATCTGCCTCAAGGAAAATATAATTGAGTCAGTTCAATCAGAGGCATCCAAAGAAGTTCTCAAGTTTTGACAATTGGCAGTTTGCGCTTTTTTTTTTCCTTTCAAATGGCAGTTTTTAAACAATTTGTTCTAATTAGTTATATGTGACAGTAGAATTCATTTTAATATATTGTACACAGATGGAGCAGTTTGCACTTCTTAAAAATATATATGTAAGTGAAGATCTTGATTAGGAGCCTAAAATAACTATTGATTTCTCTTCAATAATCACTTTAGAGCTGCAGCTTTGGAACAGTTCAAGTCTCTTGGTGCTGAGCCCTTGGAGGTGGACTTGAAGGAATCGGGTGAGGGACAGGGAGGATATGCAAAAGAGATGTCCAAAGAGTTCATTGAAGCCGAAATGAAGCTCTTTGCCCAGCAGTGCAAGGAGGTGGACATCCTCATCAGCACAGCACTTATCCCAGGTATGACCCTGACTAAATGGTTATTTTTAAGGCACTTATATACTAATGACTTTTTAAAAGCTGATGCTGAATAATTTTTTAACATTTGAATTTCTTTAAGTGAAGACCAATTTTTCTATTATAAAAATACTAGAAAATGAGAAAGCACATGACATAAATCATTGCAGCCCCTTGAAATAACACTCATGAATAATTTGGTATGTTTTCTTCTCGTTTGTTTTATATAACCCTGTTCATAGATCATTCTCTATGTACCATATTATATTCATAACACTTCTGTTTAAATCTTGAAAAATTGTTAATATTTTTCTGTTCTCTTTTTTAAGATGCTATGTTCTTATTGTAGGAAATTCAAGTAGTACTGATATATAGATGATCAGAAGTTCTACCAGAGATGACCATTACTCACACCATTACGTGTGTTTGTGTGTGTGTATTTTTTGATACTGGGTTTTGAACCTGGGATGCTTAACGACTGAGGCACATCCCCAGCCCCGCTTTATAAAATATTTTATTTTTACTTTTCATTTTGTGACAGGTCTTGCTAACTTGCTTAGGGTCTCACTAAATTGTTGAGGCTGGCTTGGAACTTGTGATCCTCCCTCTGCCTAGCCATTTCTAATATTATGATGATCATTTTTCATAGATAAGAGAGAGAGAGAGACAGACAGACAGAGGGACTTTGTGTGTATGTGTGTATTGATAGAATTCCCAGTGTATATTTTTACTTAAGGATATGATACTTTGTCACTTTCTAATTATTTTTCTTTGACAGGTTTGTTCTTTCTAATCAAATTGTGAGCTCTTCAATAGCAGACCCTTCACAACATTTTCTAAATCACATTTTGTACTCAAGGAATGATGTGAAATTGATAAGCATTTATTTGTAAATAGTGGCTTGATCTAGGAAGATATTATGGCAAAGAAATTCTCCACTATTTCTTTTCTTTACTCTTTCTTCCTGTTATTGAATAATAAATACCATGCTGACTCTACTTTTTCCTTTCTGAAAGAAAGCAGTTCAGATAATGAGAGCTTGAAGGATTCATGGTTGCTTGTGTTTGTTCCTGCTAAGGGAGCCTCCAGGGGACTGTGGAGAATTAGAAATTCTCTCTTGTCACCATCCCTCACTAAAATACGCTAGCTAATATCAACCTAAGGACAGGGAAATCAATTGGCATGAGATCTATGAGTTTATGTGGGAAAATATGCTCTCCAAATCTTTCTGTCCTCTATTTGCCCAAGTGATAGGGAAGCTGGTCCTCTCAGATGCCTCATGAAGCTGGCTAGGTGAAGCACACAGGAAAGAAGGTGGTTTAGGCTTAGCTTGTGGAAGCATCTCTGAGTATAGGAATGAGGCCTGTGGTTTAGTAGTAGAGGTGAATGCTGATCAGGAAGCATTGACCTAGGATGGTGCTTGGCAAATCTGTCAGCCAGGACAGAAGTTTCCTACAAGTAGTGGCAGGGGAGTACTTCAGGATCATTCCTTTCCTCTTGTGGCAAATGCTCCTGGTTCAGCTCTTATGCTTTCCTCCCTGGCAGTGCCYAAGTTGAGAAGGGGGAGACTACCATCCGACCACTGAGAGGTATTGTGGAGTGGGTGGAGTGACGTTGATTAGATGTAACAGTTGGCCAGCAGAGGGCACTAAAACATTTACTAATGGAGTAAAGGATGGAAGCTAGCTTTAGTTAACAGTCTTTAATAAAGAACTGGAGATAATTTGGACATGGTATACAGATTTATTATTGATTATAACGATAGCAGTTAGTGATAGAACTTAGGACTTCCTATATAAACACATACTGACTTTTAGGATCTACCCCCATACTAACTTATTTTTTATAAGTAATTATAGTCAAGCATGCTTTAGGGAAGAGTCACATTGTATGAGATGGTTTTGAAGACTAGTTGAAGAGTTTTGTTAATCTGTTTCCCCTCAGCATTTACTGTTTTCTGAAGCTACGATTTTTTTTTTTTTTTTTTTATTAAACTTGCATGAAGTGTTTGGTTAGTACATTGACCCAGAACTCTCAAAAGGCTTTCTGGAAAAAAACAAAAAGTAAAGTCAATTGGAATTTCATAAAGATAAAAGTGTCTTTTCTAAAGATCTTTTATATCCTTGGGGGAATGAACACTGAAAACATGAGCATTTAAAAACAAGAAAAGATTATGTAAAGGTCCAAACATTCCTTGGAAAACTGTCCTTGGTGTTGTACCTTTATTGGTTTATGTCCTAAATCTTTACATGGATCACCTGATGCAGGGGGATGGGGTGGGGGTGGGGGGGGTGGGGGGGTGGGGGTGGGGGTGGTGGTGGTGGTGGTCCAGCTCTTGAAATATGAGAGCAGCAGTTGTTCTCAAGTTTTCCTTGAGTGGATTCAAAGAGGATTAAGTCAGCTGTCACAAGTTTTCTAACCTGAGACTGTGGTCCAGCATCCATGGAAGGCTGGACTTTAAATCTGGCATGGATGAGAATGTTAAAGAAGGATATCGGCACATAGCAGTTTTTAGGTAGCAACTTTAAAGAATCAGTAAATTTTTATTGCTCTTGAGTAATAAGTCAGTGGGTTTAAAAAGAAAATCACCTTGTACTTATGTGTAGATTGTACATGGAACTAAATAGTTCTGCAGCCAGCTAATTGTTATGCTGCCTGAAATCTCCTACCTTCATCTAGACCCCCTGCTGAGTTGGGTGATGGGTTCAAGGTCACCTCCTTATGCAAGTGACTTCATTATAGGGCCTAGCCACTGTCTCATTTTGTGGTGCTATGCACAGAAGAGAAAGTTCTCAGTCTTCCTGTCCAGCTCTTTGACCTTTGGGGCTACCATTAAAGTCAGTCAGCCCTTCTTTTCTGGAAGTGTTCAGGCTTTTCTACTAAGACTTTAAGATGCAAGAATTTTTTTTGCATCCCTATGATTTTTTGCAGCCATTGTAGAGAGACTTAGAATATTAGAGAGACTTTAGAGTATTTTATCTGGAAGGGACTGAGTCAGGTTGAAAATCTGTTAGGTAGATTAAGGGAGGGAAGTGTTGAGGTGGGGTAAAGATTTTGCATCAACTGTGTCCTGGGAAACTTTTACCTTAAGATGTTTTATAGCTTTGCATGTATGCCCCTTCTGTTTAGAATGCCATCCCTGCCATTCCATTGGCTTTTGAAGTCCCACTCCACTCAATTATGACTTCCTCCAATGGTGTTTACTGTGCCCTACTCAGTAGTAAGATGTTCTTTTTTTCTACACTTATGTTACATTACATGTGCTCATATTATAGCAGTGCACAATACGTCCTATGATCTGTGTCCCTGTGAGTGCAGTAGAATGTTCCATTTGTCCTTGTTGTAGCCAGCACTTGGCATAGCACTGTGCACACCATAGCAGTTCAGCAAATGTTGCTGAGCTCTTAATTCCGAGTGCCTTCCTTAGATCTTGGCTGGTACAATCTCTTTCATTTTTCATGGTGCTAACTAAGGAAAGATAGCATACCCTGTTGGCTCACTTTTGGGTAGGAACATTGCAGAGGCTAATTTAAGACTGGAAAGTTCACTTTCTTAAATTATTCAAAACTAGGACACATGCCCAGTCTGCAATTTGAGAAGGCTAATTAGGTCTCTCAGGAGTTCAAAGTAGGAAGTAGTGGAAGAACTGGTTAGGAATTAGAAAATGTCTTGTCAGGAAGGAAGACATCCAGTGCTTAATTATAAATTATAATTCCGTAGGCCATATATACGTAGGCCTCTTTATAGAGTCTGGATTAGGCAAGCAGAATTTTTTGTTTTTATCAATACCAGATAGGGTCTATAAAGTACACTTCTCAAAGGACACTTGTGGGGATTTTCCATGACTGGAGAATTGGGAGAGAGTTGGTTTGCTTTGATATGCAATGGCCTTACAGAAATGAGATTGAAACTAAGAGATGTTGCAGTCTCCTGGCAAGTCACAACTTGGTTCTCCTTCTGGTATCATCTGTTTCTTTGAATCTTGTCTTTTACCTGCAGTACAATTATAGTGTAAGAATGGGTTTTCACAGTAATTTGCAAAATCGTACTTTTAGGCCGAAGAATAATCGATACAATAATAATTGATACTCTCCATTTATGTAGTTCTACAAATATTTTTTCCAAAAGTCAGCATTTTTTTTTTCTTTTCAGGTTGTTCTTTTTCTCTGGTCTGCGTTGCGATTTTCAAAGACAAAACTATAGACTATATATCAGGGATTTCTGACTTCTTTGGAATTATATTACTTTTAAAAAACTGATTATCTGATTTTTCCACCATCTTCCCTTAAATCTATTTTGTGACTGTATGGAATTTTGTAATATTACCTCCACAAAGTTTTCATTTGTTTTGAGAATTTTTGAAGGACAGGGAGAAATACTTCCATGTTGCAACATCTAGGGTTAGTAACCACAGGCTGTCTACACACCTCTTGGTAGCTTTCAACACAGGCAGGGCAACTTGTCATCAGGAGAAGGGTGCCAGGAGTTTGGAGTTTTCCATTGCCACTTGTCTGTCTTGATTTCTTAGGGTGTGTTTGAACAAACTTATTGAGTGACTAGGCCAAATTTAACGAATGTTCTGTTAGGAAAATTTATGGCACAGAGTATTGTTTTAGTTTGGTCTGTTATTTCTCCTGAAGTATGTTGCAATATCAAGAAGCCTTATGCTGTCCTCCCTGGCAGTGCCTGAGTTGAGAAGGAGTGGGAGGTTGAGGCTGCCTCAATGGTGAAACAACACTGATAGTTATTGCTCACTTACTGGAACTTCCCACTGTGTATTATTATCCTGAATCTCTTTTCTTCCATTTTCACTGTATTTTCTTGTGCTTCAATATTATTTAGGTTGGTTTAGCTCTACCAACTGTCATAGATTAGCCCAAAAGTATGTAATAGTTCCGACATTATAGAAATTTACTTCTTGCTCATTAACATTAATAGGTAGGTTCATATATTGGTGGGCATCTCTTCTTCCCATCGTCACCTGGAGATTCAGGGTGTGGCAG